TTCTCTTTCATGATAAATTAATGAGGGGAAAACTTTTTTATAACCTTCCTCTTTTTCATTCAGCTGCTCCGTTTAGAAGTTGCCACAGTGGATCGCCTTCCTGCATCGCTGAGCTGTCCCAAACCCAACTAAAATCTGAGCATCTTCACCGCCTCCAGCTCCTCCTGGTGTCTTTTTGATAGTGCTACTATCTCCAGCCTACCTGTTTAAAACCTACAAAAGCTTGAAGTTACCTCATTCACTGCCATTGACGTCTATAGCCGTCAATGGCAGTGAATGAGTCAATGGGTTTAACTCATTCACTGCCAATGGCTGGCAGTGAATGAGTTAAGCTTAATTAGGTGCATGGCTGCTCCAAGTGATCAGTGGTCATTGACACAGTCCCCTCGCTGTCAGCTAGGCTTCGCCCTCAGCTAATAAGAGTCACTGAAGTGGAAGCGTGTTTCTGGTGTCTTTTTGAAGCATTTTTAATGCAACTATCTGATAAATATCATAACTTGCTGTGCAGGTATTTGTTCCAACAGTCCATCTAAGATATCAGTCCTCTACTTTTAGTCAGTATAGCATCTCATTTGCATGTTATTTAGCTCTAATAAGCAGGTATCTGGTATCTGTCTATGGATACAACGTTGCACTTCACTCTCTTCCTTTAAAAAGGGAGTTTTTCCTTCTCACTGTCGCCAAGTTCTTACTCACAGGGGCCCGTCTGATTGTTGGGATTTTCTCTCTATTATTGGCGCTACAAGATTTAAAATTAAATACAGTTGTGATCAATTTTGTGCTAAAACGGCCTCTAAAAAGCTCTACAATGCACAGTCCAGAAGCAGTGTGTCATTATGCTGTGGCTACGTCCATATCTTATATTGCCTCTGATACATTTCATGGCATGAATTCCTGTGTCACATTAGATCACACTTACCGATTGATGTTATTCTTAGATGCTATAGCACATTGATGTTGTTCCATAATCAGAGGAAACAAGATGGCGAGCACACGCACGCAGATAACAGATACACATACATATTCACAAGGCTTTAGATGTGTAATGCCACTGAGCAAATCCGACGGCAGGCTGCATTTGGTTCATTTTTATGGTCTGTGAGTCAGATGTTTGTTTCCGAGTTATTGTTAAAAAGTGAGGGCCTGAGGGCCAATATCTTCTTATGTACTGCATTTTCTCAGCAGCCTGTAATGACATCAGTCTTAGCTGGTGAAGCCCACGTCCACCACACGTTCCAGCTTTTTGAAGATGACGGAAATGGGTTTAATCTTTCGGCATTCTCTTGAAGTGCCAAATCAGTCTTATAGAAGACATAAATAAATAAATAAAGACTTGATTCTATTTTAAAAAGGATAAAACTAACAAACAGCCTGACAAGTATTGTCTGTGTATAACATCTCTTCATATTGTGCATTCCTTTGTACCATACAGCTCAAACAGTATTAAGAGCACATTGCAGGGCAGCGCTTTTGCTCAGGATAGTTTGATATCATTGATGAACATGTGCACTGTAGTTTCCAGTATTTTTAGTGAACATCGTCAACGGCATCCTGATGCCTTAAATACCATCAAGGGACCTAATATGTATTCATCTGCCACCCTAAAAAAATGGTTTTCAGTAAATGTTCTATTTGGCTAAAAAGTGAAGTACCAAGCTGTGTTAGAAAATTACTTTGTTAGATTTACTTTGTCTGTAAGAACGACTAGGATTGGCGCTGGGTGCCACAGATTGTTAGGGAAATTGGAAAATGCTGGAGACGGATGGAATTGTCCAATAGGGAATAAAAATAACTCCAGCCTTTTGGTTTTGTCGCTGGTGAAAAATGCAGTGTAGCCAGTAAACATGCACACCACCCACCAATAACCAGGTTGTATGCCGATAAGTCAATCAGATTATCCCCCCCCCCCATCAATTTTATTAATTACCAGTTAATTAATTAAGGTCGGATCGCCACGTAGAGTCTGCAGACAGGTGGAGAAATGGCACGTCCATCTGCCAATCGTCGTGAGCAAACGCGGCAGCTGCGGCTGCATGTTTTGCACGGCATCCGTCTCGATTCACCTGTTGTTATCAAACATAATAGTTCTCATGCAGTCTGGTCATGTGGGAACACAATCACACTTTGCGGGGATGCCTCGCACCTGGGTGACACGAAATTATAACGCTGATTTGTTGACGCATTAGTCGCGGTGCGCGCCGCGAGCATCAGCCTGTCATTTTTATCCGCGTTACGCATTCGAAAGCCGAGCCTCGTCGAAAGCCTGGCCTCTTTCTTTCATTCACAACCTCGTCCTGCCCTTCCTATCAGTCTTTCGTTCTGTCTCTAACCTGACATAAAGGAACACAATCCCACGTTGTTTGTTTCGTTGTAACCCCGCAGCTGCATTTTCAAGATGATTGTCCCTGCGTGATGAAACAGTCCCTGTCAAGAGCTACAGACGATTACATGGCTTCACGCGGTGATCAGTCTGTATGTAAACACTTTTTTTTTTTAAAGAAAGCAATCGATGTAGCGCAGAATGTCGATGATTAAACTCATACGTTGTCTTTAGTGACGATGAAAACAGCTTCTGTCTGACTGAGGGAAGAGGAAACAGAAGGACAGAGATGGTCTTTGTTTTTGTAATCAGCGGAGTGTCTCCCTCCTTGCTTTGGCTCCTCTGCCTTGGAGATATAATCGAACCATATACACCCACTCTCGAGTCTTTTTAGTGTCAGTCCTCATGTCACGGTTCACATTAAATGCTTGACGGTGAATCACACACGTAATGAATTCAATCAGATTTGCAACCTGCGAAACAGCCTCGAGACGGCGGCTTTCTTCTGACCTGCACGTGTTCCCTTTTATTACAACTCCTGACCCTTTCTGATTGGATGATAGCTGTGCTGTGTTTACATTAATGGGATTTGAAGCCCATTTCCCTAATCTGCTTCTTATTGAAAGATACTGGGTCTCACGTGATGAGCACATTGTTATCTGAAGAAGTCAGAATGGCAGTTTTTATTCAGCATTATAGCTATTTCTGTTTTGTGTCTAAAGCTTTGAATTTGGAGAAATGCAGCCAGTATTTCTAATCGTCTGAATATTTGAAGAGCAAGAATTGGAATCAGATAAAGTGCTGCAGGAAAAATGATCTCTTCTTTCAAAATATGTAAAAATATAATTGCATAAATGTTTTATTCCAAGCCCTAGCAATGTTTTTCCCTTTACAATAATACCCAGGGCTATTATCTGGCTCTTTAGCAGCCACTGTGTTCACTAGCTGGTCGCCAACTGCGTCTGCTATACGAATGAACCAAAACGGCGACACCGCGGGCCACGAGACATTTATTATGTGCAGAAATATGGAAACCGGCTGTTTGCAGCAGTGCCGTGTGACTTTTGTCTGTCCCGTAATCAGCATCACTCAGCAGCATCTGACCCTTAAATTTGTGAACCTCCCCCGATGTGGTCCGAGGGGTAATTACATCTGCCGGGGAATGACCACGTGCTAGTCCTTCTATCTCAGCGGGGTTCGGTTACTCAATCTGATTCGGGCAAGTGTGTGAGCGTGAGTGTTCGAAAAGTGCTAATTGGCACTCTTGAGTGTTTCAAGTCCACCTTTCCTAGAGCAGCTTCTGTGTCACCACTTTGTCAGACTGACACTCGATTTTAAACCCACCCCATCCCCTCGGCAGCTGTTGCCAAGGTCATTATCAGACCTCGAGAATATTCCCAAAGGCTAATTCACCCATATCCTCTGGCACTTTATCTAACAGCCTTCTCACAGGAAGGTGGTTGCAATGAGTGCTTCCAGGTGTCATTTAAATTCAGCCTGACTTCAAATGCTGCACAGACCGCGGTGGCGAAGCATCCGTACGCTAAAACAAACACCTGTATGTTGTATGAATGGGAGAAGACACCTGTGCCGTGATGAAGGTCGTTGACCCCAGTGAGAAAACTGGAGTTAAAAATGACTTTTAAGTGTGGCACTTTTAATATTCACTCAAGCGCTTCAAGTGTAAGATTTTGTTGTCTTGGGAATTCTGCCCCCAGTTTTCAGACAAAGGTGTTTTTCTTTACAACAAAGACGCAACCTTGATTACGGAGGCTCGCTTTAGTCTGAATGGATGCGTGTTTTAATCACAAATCCTGGATCCGTTTGCGCCTCTTTAATGAGGCCCGCTCCAGCTGGAAGGCTGTCGGCGCGGCTGCTTTGATCAGTGGCCCATGGACACGGGATTACGCTGCTAACACACCGCGCTAATGGAGCCGCAAGTCAAAAACACACACCCGCGTGGCGCATGCACGCACACACATGCCCAAACAGGAATGCAAATGTGGGGAAATATACATATAAAACGCACACGCTCAACCTCTGACAAGGGCACAATCCAATAAGCCAGCGTCTTGTTCTCATGCAGCCCTTTGTGTCAGGCCCTTTCATCTGGCTGTGTCTGTTTGGGTCGGCTGAGTTTTAGGCTCCGCGTTGACGTCTCTGCCAAAGAGGGCTCAGCGAGTAAGGTCCAAAGCTCAGTGCTGACACACAGCCCAACTCTAGAGACTAATGGCTTGTAGCTCCCAACATATGTTGTTTTGTGTAATTGCTTTAATTGCTGTCATTGTACGTAATGGTTGGTCTTTTTCATCTTCCCTGGTGGTGTAGGCATTCTGCTAATTATATCTGTCAGCCCTGCAGCCAAATTGAGCATTTCACTGTGAATTCAGAGCAGTGGGAACTTTTAAAATCAGAGCGTTTCTGTAAACTATTGGTGTGCGTGTGTGGGTGTAAATGAGTGACTGACTGCTGGGTGTTACAGGGGTTTTCATAAGTAATTCTCCTCATCCTGGAGCTGTTTAATAGAAGCGGGGTCGCGAACTTTGCTCATCAGTCAAGTCTAAACCTTGACCTGCGCGTAGTTCTGCTTCTTTTATCTGTTTTATTAACTAGAAAAAAAGGTGAAATGACTATATGGGTAATTTCATAAGCCTAAGAAAATGTCTTTGTTTCCGTTCAGGTACGACACCATCACCAACCAGTGGGAGACGGTTTCTCCTCTCCCCAAGCCGGTCCATTCTGCCGCAGCCACCGTGTGCGGAGGGAAGATCTACGTGTTCGGTGGTGTGAATGAGGCCGGGCGCTCGGCGGGTGTGCTCCAGTCCTACGTACCGCAAAGCAACACCTGGAGTTTCATCGAATCGCCCATGATAGGTAAGACAGGTGAAAACACACAACGTGTTTGTCACAGATTCACACATGCAGCAAAAAAAAGTGAAGGGATGTTATGTCCTCAGGGGACTTGTCGCCATTGTTGCATCAACTTTTGTCTGATGACGGACCTGTTTCTCTCAGATATTCCCAAATGTAGGGTCCTTCTTCCTCATTGTGCTGTCAAATAAATTTAGTTGAAAGAGAATTAGCCCCTGAAAACCTCCACGCTTTTCTTTCAAGGCATCACATCAGAGCATCAGTATTTAGACTGCTTTTTATTTGCGATGTAAAATCTAAAGTGGAAACGGCACAAAATGCAAAAGTATTAGTTTAACCATTTATATGCATCCATTCGTTTATTCTTTGACATCTTACTATCACATTAGAGAGCAACAAGATATCTTTGGGCCTCAATTATGGCTGCCTGGTTGCCTAGCAACAGTGTTCTCACAACTCTACCCAGATGAACCCCTTCACTTCACGTCATGCGCTCGACTTACCCTGTCGAAATCATAAACTCCTTCTTTATCAGTGCAGTCCTGTTACACAGCACATTACTATGAGACCTTATATTTTCTTAGCGTGCATAAAACCAGACTCAATCAGTTTTATAAGTTTAAGTTTGCAGCTCTGTTGCCTCATAGCAAGAAGAGAAGGTCCTGGGTTTGCATGGCTTCTTTCCACAGTCCAAAGACTGTGAACGTTAACTGGTACTTCAAAATTAGCCTTTGGTGGGAATGTGAGTGTTAATGGTTGTCTCTGGTGCACTGGGATGGACTGGCAACCCTGGACAGGTTACCTGCAAGGTGGCCAGATATTACAGGTTGCCCTATAATAGCTGGGCAGGTTCCAGATTAATGGATAGATTGATGGAGGGATGTCCTGTCCCTCCCCTCACACCCAACCGACCAATAGGTGGTCGTCTGATCGTTGGGGTTTTCTGTCTATTATTGTAGGGTCTCCATCTTACAAGATAAAGTGCCTTGAGGTGACTGTTGTTGTAATTTGGTGCTGGATAAATAAAACTGAGTTGAAAGGATGGACTGATGGTGGTTTACCGATATATGCCAGTACTATAGTGGTCTGTTTGTGCTGTTGAGCTTGAAGGTGTTTGAACATGCTGTCTAGGAAATTCGACTAGCACAAATGTAATCTATATCTGTCGCTATTTAGACAGCAAAGATTTCTGGCACAACTTCGCCTACTTCCAAGGTGCGTGGAGAGAATGTTTCCGTGTTATGATGTCCTCTTGTTTTTGAATCTAACTGCTGCACTGACTTCTAATTAAATGTAATCATTTTATGGGTCTTTTTGTATATTTGTAATATTCTTCTTACAAACGGGGGGGAGGGATTACGTCTCCTCCCCCCCGTCTTCATCATTAATGATCTAGTGCAGTATTTACTTGGGCATGACTTAACCAGTTAACCAATACCAACCTGTTATATGTCAGCTGGTTTATCAATGAAGCTGTGATTGGTTAATTTGAATGTTTTTTGCTACCCTGATGAAGGCCACAAGCCGAAACGCGTTGGTCAGTCAATAAAGTTGTTCTTCTTCCCTTTAAGTGTTGCTGGAGTTCCTGCGTTGTGTCTGTTTGGACAGCAAATGATAATAATTTCCAATTATTTATCACAGTCAGTTGCTTTATTGTTGGAAAGCAATTGCATGTAATTGACTTGACCCCATTCAGACTGACAGCAACCCGACTTTGTTTCATTGTATCATTTATGGCAGGTTTTAGTGGCAGTGTTGGTTTATTGATCTCATTTTATTTTTGCATTGAAAAATTATTGAAGTGAGAGAACTTTGTTGTTGGATTATTGCAATAATATCATCATATTGTGAGTGAAGTGTTTTGATAAGACTGTATCATGGGGTGTCTGGTGATTCCCAGCTGTACACAGTCACCCACCAAAACTGGAGCAACTACTGCTCGGATGGTCTGTTAATACAATGAACCACACAACAAACCATGCTGTTCCTCAGTTTGTATTATAAAAGCTCCAAGTGGCACTAACACCACAAAACCAGTCCAGAGGTCGAGTTGACTGATTTGACCGAACTAGGATGACGCCTAGCAGATAGCTACCAGCCGAGTTGGCACTCCTCTTTAACTCACAGTGCCTTTGGCCCTAATAATGCGACACAATTGCCAAAACCATTTTTCTCTGCTAAGCTGTAATTGTGTTTGTTTGTGTTGTAAAGTAGGGCATTTTAATGAGGGAGTCTGTGGCGACTAACTTGCTCTAGGAGTCAGGCCCGAGTGGTTTAATTTTTCAGAGCCAGAGTTTGGTTCCCGATGCTTTCTTTTCATCTGTATGGCCATGTAAACATAAAACCAACTACTTGGATTAGATACTTTGTAGTTTTTTTCCCCAATTAAGGAAACCTTCAGTGTTTATCCTTCCAGTGAAAATGCTGAACCACACCTGAAAATTCAGCAGCCTGTTTTTTCTTTTTCTCTTTATCGTTATCATCCTCCTCGGGATTTTCCATTATTCCCCCTCTTCCCACATTATTGCGCTGTCATAATAATGAGAAGACCATCGCTAAAATGATAGGTGGTTCTGACGATAGTTTCTGACATGTTATTGGCCAAACTGTGATCTGAATAACATCAGAATAACACCTGGATCCACATTCCAGTCTGATCCACCGGGGAGCCGTGAAGGACGAAAAGCCAGAAGAAAGCTGCCGTGACTCAAAGGTAGAAGGAAAAACACAAAAGCGTACCAAGCCTACAACTTTGTTATTCAGAGCACTGGCAGATGTCTTCCCAGTGCAAAGATCTTATCCACAGGCATTTCTTCACAAATATAAGTATCCTTGAAAGGTGCAGAGCAGGCGAGATTGCTATTGATTTGAACATATTCTGCGAATCTCTTTGTTTCACATTCTGGCCTGGACAACACTATTGCACACAAGTCAGCTTTAAGCCTAACCTACAAACTTCTTTGTGCTCTATAGATAATTCGATATTTTGTGAGAAAGAGTTAAAAAAAAAAAAAGGTTGATAAGTGGGATTTGACTGAATTGTGTTTCTCTCTTTGCAAGCTAAGAACCAGCGTTGCCTGCAATAAGATTCTCATCCAAGCCAAGAAACAGCTCCGGACATAATTGCAAGAAATATTGCAAATTGTTTAATCCACACAAAAAAACAGAAGATATAACTTGTTAATTAGTAAGATTTAGAAGTGCTGAGGGGCAGTTTGTTACCTTCTGGCAGAGGCAGGAGAGCTGTTTCCAGTCCGTGAGCTAATCCAAGCTAACAGAACTGCAGAGTGTAGCCTTGTTTTATCCATACTGACATGAGAGCAGTGCCGGTCTTCTCATCTTACTCTTACAATGTGCATACATGCCAGGATATTTAAAAAGTTCCTTTATGGTTGGATTTAATTAGCAATCTGCTACAGTCATCTCCAGCCCCATATTTTTGTTTTGGATCTTCACTAGGATGGCTTTGCATGATTTCATCTCATTTCATCCATTGATTGATCCATTTCATCCCCCTGTTCAAGGACTTCAGTGTTTTAGCTCCTGTCTCTTAAAGGCCAGACGCCCTCAAAGCTCACTTTTCTTTGAAGTAACAATGATTAAATATTACAGTTTCTTGCATGGCTTTGTCTTTATGCTGAGTCGGTCCATTGAGCTTTGTGGGCATCTCGTATGCAGAGCGATCTCACACTTCAGTCAGGTTGAGGCCTGGACTTTGACTGAGTCATTGCAACGCGTTAATACTTTTCTTTTTCTGTTGGAGATCTGCTGCTATGCTTCAGCCAACATGTCAGACATATGGCTTCATATTTGATTCTTGGATACTTTGGTTTACAGAGGAGTTCATGGTGCCCTGGTCCTGTATCTGTAAAACAGGCCTAAATCATCACCCCTCCTCCCCCATGCTTGACAGTTAGTATGAGGTGTTTGTGCTGATATGTCGGGTGCTGTGCATTATGGCCGTACATCTCGTCTGTCCAAAAGACATTGTTCCATGTGGTTTGTCGAGAGGCAGCTTTGCAGACCTAAACCACCCTGCCATGTTCTGTTACAGAGACTAGGCTTTCTCCTGGACCCCGTTCCAAAAAATGCTGTGCTTGTTCAGCCTTTTACTAACTGTACTGTCATGAACTTTAACATTTAACATGCTAACTGAGGCCTGCAGAGTCTGAGATGTAGCTCTTGTATCTCTGAGCATTGCACGCTCATTGTGTTAACACTCACCTGAGTGCTCCAGACCAGTAGTCTACCAAAACTTCTGCTTTTGTAGAAGCGCTCACACTTGCTGATGATCAGATAATACACACCTGGCTGCTAGCTAGTAATCCAGCTTCATGCCAGTCTCTTTTGAGCAAATCGTCCTCTGTGGTGTTGGCTTTTGGCTTTTGTTGGTTCAGTAGAACAAACTGTATGCATTGTTCTCCTGTGCTTTCTTCTCTAGGAAAGATTTGACTTTATTTCACAACTGGAAAAAAACCTCTACCTTACTTGTAGAGCACTGAAAAAACTTGTTAAAAAAGTGTTATTATCAAGAGCAAAAGCTACGGCTGTGCAGGCATCGACTGTGCAAGGAAAGATGATATCAGCCGGGCCGAAGAATTGGAAACCTAGCAGACTAGCAGAGCCGTCTGAAGCCTGAGCTTATGGGTCGCAGCCATTAATTGTACATCCACTGACCTCATTAATTGAAACTTTGGACCATGTTTAATATGAGAATCCACTTTTGTTATATACATAGCAAAAAAGGGAAAAGCATGAAAGAGCCACTTCAACAAATTATAGCACATCCTGGGAGCTTAATGGCTATGGCGCATGCCTCAAAACCGCGCTGTCCACAGTTCAGCAGAAACACAGAGTCAGAGAAGTATTTGAAAGTTACACCAGCACAGAGACACTTTGTTGAGCGCTGTCGCCCCGAAACTTGCTTTCAGTTACTGGAGCCGTCTCAGGGCTTTACTACTGTGAAGGAAACGATGATTATGTAACACGGGTGTTTGGGGCGA